GAAAGAGGGAAAACATTGTAACAAAGGTAATACTGAGCTACTGTAAGAAAAGAAACAGAAAACCTTCTACTTGTCACTGATTGGAGATATTCTCACAGTATTAAGAGCACACTTTGCAAGTATATTACCTTATTCATAGGGGTTTTTTTAAAGCAATTGTGACATAGAAGTAGAGTGGGAAAATTAGAAGTAGAGTGGGAAAATTTGGAATGAAAATTATTTGATTTCACATTCTCAAAATATAATAGGAATTGATGGTCTACAGAATACATCCGTGGAGTGAAAGGTGCTTTAATCTCAGTTGACAAGGGAGAATCTGAAACAGAAAAGTTGGGGAACTTGCCTAAGCTCATGGTATGTAAACTGAATCCTTCCACAGTTACTCTTTGGCGAAAATGCTCACGCTTGGCTTTTTGCAGGCTTTCTGAGGCTGACGTGGCAAGTTCTGGTCTGAGTGCTTTGGATGTCACATGCTCCAGTTTCTCCTCTGAGGCAAAGCAGAGCATATGGGCGTCTCTGTGCTTAGTACCTACCACATGTATATGTGAAGGAAATACAGACTGTTACCATCAGGTTTTTTAAAACGCAAAAGCAGGGAGAAAGTTGGAAAAAATATTATTTTGCCATTTCCTTTTGCTGACCTGTTCAATAGCAAAAATTATTAAACCATCCTTTCTCTCCTTTTCCATTTTTCCTTTTTCAGGTAATTTTAGATACAGTTTCCTGAATTTATTTTAAAATGTTTTCTTTGTCTTTTTCTGTAACTGTATGTGTATTGAGGCTAAAAGAAAAAAAAAGTGAAGTATTGTTAAATTGTTTGAAATAATTTATCTTACTGGCTGAAGAAATTGGAGTATGAGTAGAAAGGTGGTCTCATTTCATTGGTACAGAAGAAACATAATTATAATTTTCATTTGCTAAGTCAACCCTTTATCACTTTCATTAATTTATTTATGATTTTTAAATTTCTGATTTTTTTCATTTTCAATATATTAATCCACAAATCCAGGCCATTCTTAATCTGTTTCTGAAAGTATTTTGGAGACGTCATACTTTTTTTTCTTTTCAACTTGAAATACACAGTCATCTCTTTTCTGTTCTTGGAATCAATAGCAAACACCTAACATGTGACACCAGCAGGAAAAATATTACCTGCTTTTATCATTTGGACTTGAATCTCTGTCCCCAAGAGGACAGTAGCTAACAGCTTGTGATATAGTCTGTTGAACTACTTGATTATTATTTTTTGACCCCCTTTATATCCCTGTATTTGTAGCATTCTTATCCTTTTGCCCTTGTGAGAGACAAGAGAATGTTTCAACTGAGGAGAGCAGAAGCAAAACAAACCCAACTATGCACACTACTTCTCTGTTACGTAAACAACTGTGAACTGTGAAGTTGAAGAGAAGTTGTTCTGGAGCTCTATTTCATAATGCAAAGCAGCAAGTCTTTCTCAAGTCTCTGACCATCAAATAGAAGAAATTGTTTGCCTGGTGGGGCAAAATGAATTCCAGAATGATGTGCATCTTGTGAGGGTAAAAAACCCCCACTTCTTAACAAAGTTTGGGTTAACGTTTTCAAACTCCATCTACTGATATTTCCTATGGGAACTGAACTCATTGGAATTTTAGTTGTATTTGTTTTGCTGTCCTGGTAAGTCTGGCTGGAGTGGGACAAAAGGAATTTGAGTAACATTCTGGTTAAACCCAACCTGTAAGGTAATTGTAGTGGGCAAAATGGGTGCTAGTAAAATAGAAAACAGATGTAGGGGGAAAAGTACTCTGTGTATGAAACACAGAGGTAGATTAATTGCTTGAACATGGGAGACGATGGGAGCACTCTTCTGGGCTTCCCTCTGCAGTGACAAGCGTGCTGCTGCCTTTTGGTTCCTGCAGAAAGACTCACTGGATAATCTTGTAATCACAGGAGATCCACCATTGCGCCATGGTCCTCACAAAAATCCTGTCACCTCTGCACTCAAATGCTGCCTTTGATTGCATAATAGCACTGTACCTGCTCCATCGCTTTCTTACTCTTTCTTTTAATGGTGCTGACGCCCAGTCTGAACCATGGGCATTACACACAGGTGTAGGTGTCATGCTGGAATTACTTGAAGTGTCCCTTTAATTTTATTTTTTTCTGAAAAAGCTGTGCTGAAAGTTGGCATGTTTAGGTTTGAGGACAGTACGAGGCTTTTGCCAGCTTTCTTATTTACCAGAGAGTTCCCGCGGTGTTGGGCAGCAGTGAGTCTAAAAGTGAGAGTGAACACAAATGCACATGTTCATAATTCCTTAGGGTATCTATGTGACTTACATGTCACGACGGTTGGTATTTTGCAGAGGGTCATAGATTTTTTGAAGTATAGCATTTGTGGAAGAGCTAAAGACAGCTGTTGGATGTTGTGGTGCAGACACACGGCTGCAGCCAGATCAAAGGTAGCTCAGAATGGTGCCTGGAAAGAACCACCATCTGCTTGATTCTGGGACGAAATTAGTGGCTGGAATGAAAATAGACTTTTGGTTCATTTTCTTCTGAGATTTGGAGTATAAGTGTTTCATAAGATCTGAGCACAAGGATCTTAAAACTGAAAACATTGAGGTGTTCTGGTGGTGCCTAAGGTTAGCACCTTCAGGTTAACAGCTCATTTTGTGGGATTGTACATCCATGTCTGGGTGAAAAGTTGGGTTTAGGTACATACACAATTTCTTGAGAAGATACTATTCACTGGCTAACTCTTATTGTATGAAAAACAGACAGATCAGTTGTTTTCTATGCTCATTTTATAGTGTCTTTTATTGTTTTGGATTAACATGTGCAAATTTGAATCTAGCTGTTTTTCACAGAATATTCACTGAGTATTTTTCTGTTGGTATGGTACATAAAAAATACCATGCATTACGAATAATGCTTACTCTACATTTTATTTCATGAGTGACGTAAGTTTCACCAGCAAAATGGAAGAAAATAAATACCATATTAACCTCAACACTACCTTATGCCGATTCATGGCATTATAGAAGGCTGTGTGTTACATAGTGTATGTTTTTAGCAGAACCACAAAATTGCAGTGCTCCTTTTGGCACTAAATGCTGTGCTCGTCCATTCTTTTTGATGATTTGTATTCACTTTGGGGTTATAATGTTAAACAAGGGAATCGAACAAGTTTCACAACACATTTACTGTAACATGATACTGTGAAATAAACTTGCTGTTATTTATCTTTTTTTATATTTCCTCTTGTTCCAGCATAAAGCCAAGGTAGAAGCAATGACCTTAGACCTTGCTTCTCTTCAGAGTGTGCAGCACTTTGCTGAAGCATTCAAATCCAAGAATGTGTAAGTACTGGGGAAATTATATGTAGTAATTTTTTTGTTATTTTCACATCTTTATCAGCTGAGCACAGTTGGAAGATTTCATCATAGCAGGACTGATCAGCAACTACTGCTAGTGAATAATCTTTTCAAGGGTATTTTTTAATATTAGTTAAAGATAATTTGTTTTCATCTTAAAAAAATATTATTCGATGTGTAGCCCCAGCTCTCAAGGTGGCATTGATACCCCTAGGGCTATTGAAAAAGGCCCAAGCAGAACTGCATAAGAACCAGCTCAGGTAACTTTTGTCAGTTTTGCAGTGGTTTGGAAGAGGTCAGGGATGAGCAATTAGTGCACTCTTTGTCTTGTCTTTGTTTTCTAACGTCTCTCTCTTTTTATTTATCAAACACTGAAAAAATAGCCCTGTGAGCCAGACAGCTCCATTTTCCAGACCTGTATCAGGAATAGTCCATAATTAATATACAGGAAAAAGAAAAAGGTGGAGAGGAGTTGATAATGATATCACTTAACAATAGACAAATTTATATGGAGATAATCAGGTTAGCTTCCAAATGGTTTGTTTAATTTAGCTTGAACAGAACAATGAATCTCTAAATTGAAGAATTTACTGAAATCTTTAAGTGCCAACTCTTGGCAATAAATTCCAGACTTTGTGCTTTTATCCACAGTTTGACCCATTGATTCTTGTGAGTATTCAAACATAGCTTTTTTCTACAAATATTTCTGTAACACATATATATCTTACTGTACTTCTCAAGAGAATATGGCCTCTTAGACAGCTTTGAAAATATATTGTCAGAGGGAAAATACGTAACAAAGAATTTTTTTTTTCACTTTTGAAATACTGCCAGAGCTAAATCTCATATGGATAGACAGATGACATTTTAGTACTTATAGGTCTTTTAGATTCAAAAAAGTTGTCAAAAGTGACTTCTAACACAAGTTCCTTTACTCCCCAAATCCTTGGTAACTATATTTTCTTATCATCTTATCATCTTCACATATTAAAACTCCTTGAAATAGAAAGACAAATCCTTGCAGTATTGCTGCTTTAATACTGATTTGGTTTCATAATACAAGAACAGTAAGTGCTTTAATTTATCTTCTTCAGGCTTACAGTTTGCTACTTTTCTATGAAAACTACATGGTACAGTGAAAAGTTAAAACCACCCTTCTTTCAAATGCTGCTCTTGATTTGTGTGTGGCAGATCATATCATGGTCCTCCTAGCTAGTCCACTGGGCATGCACATTTATAAATCTTTAGGAGTGAACATACTGAAATCAATTTTTGCCAGAGAACTTAGCAAATGAGAAGATATAGAATCAGTAGAGATACAGAATCAGTAAAACATGTTTTATTTTTGTTGGCATACATAATTTTACCAGTGTAGGTCTACTTAGCCACACTCACAGTGATGGACATGTTTTACTAATGTTCCACTCTCATTTTATTTGGAAAAAATTTAGTAATAGCATTTGTGCCTCTGCCTTGCCTTCAGATATTTCTATCTCGAATCTGTGCTCAAATGTGCATGTGTCTAGCAGGACATTATAGAAAATCTAAGATCTGTATCTGTTGTGAGACTTGTTGACCGAAATGAATTTCCAATTATGTTCTGCTTAAAGTCTGAGGCTGGTTGGAAAGCAGACTCCACACACTGCCTGTGGCAGTAGCTCTTTTATCTGATACAGATACAGAAGAGTTACCTTACAGTCATCTGCACTGGCAGGAGTATGGACTGGAAGACCTAGTAGGTCTTTCTGGCTCTGATTTCTTGTGATTTAACTATGTCTGGATACGGTGAGAAAAGCAATTACATGGCAGCAGCATCTTATTACCACAATGCTAACCCTAGGTGTTTACTGTCCCTAACATACACTAACACTTTTGTCTTCTCATTTATTTGTTTTGCTGTAGTGTCCAGAGGCTTTTGTCAGACCAGTGATTCCTTTGCATTAGTAGCTTTATGAGCAGTTGAAACAAATTGTACAGGCTTCAGTGAAGGACTGAGTCTTGTCCTTTATGTTTTGGCAAGTCTGTTAGCTTGTAGCTTTAGTATCTCTGATTTCATGCACCTGTAGGAGAAGACATTCGGTGATACACTGTCCCCAGCTCCCCCACGAGGTAGCAGTTAAGTCCTGTTAATGAGCACAGGAAATATGACTACAGAGTTTTCTTTCTTACAAATTCCCTAACGATAAAGGAGTAGGAAAAACAAATAAAGTGTTTGAGTTTCCTTCTGAACAAAACTGAGTTGTGCAGATCTTGGTTTCTGGGGGGGAAAAACCACAACACAATAATTTTAAAGTGTGAAAGAGAAATTTTATATGAACATACACATTTTAAGAAAAATGTGTATTTTTATTTCTCATAACATATTATGTGAAGAGGCCTTTAGTGGTCAGTGGTGAACATCTTAAACTTCTGGGTGCAGATAGTTTTATTGTCTATTTAATTCCTCCAATCCACTATTGATGATTTCTGGGATACTTTGGTATTCTACAGAATCTGTTGGTCTTGGTGACACCTGGCCTAATAACTGAATATTTATAAAACAAGGAACAGAATTGCTTGTCTTTTGAAATTCTGCTCTTCTGGGACACTTAATGGCTCTAAGTATAGTATTTTGTCAGCAGATAAAAGAGTGTACTCGTAGTCACATCACAACCTGTGATCATGTTCTTCCCCAGCTGATAGCTGTTGGAAAAAAGTCTTCAAGAACTGTTTCACAGATCTCTTCCTGGATGAGAAAACTAAAATAGATCCAGAAAAAGAATCCTAAATTTCAGTGAGTTAAAACCTACTGCCATTGGAGAAGGTGGTGGTGGAGGCATTGCAGGGAGCAGAGGGAAAGTTGCTGAGACTGTAAATCTCCTGCCATAATCAAATAACTTGTACAGTGAAGAAAAAAAAAAAAGCTGCCTTCAATGTGCTTGAGAATCTGAGAGATTGTGGAAACTACTTGAAGAATGAAGAAATGTCATCCTCTGCTCAACAGGGGTTGGCTGCAAACAGAAAACAAATGATGCAACAGAGAGAGCGTTGAGAAAAATATAAACAAGAGGAAAGAGTTACTCTGAAAAGAAACATTTAATATAAATTGGAGGAGTACTTAAGAGCTAAGAAAGCCTCCTTGTTTGAAAGTAAAAATCAGATGATTCATCTTCAAGTTATCATGCTTCTGAGATTTGGCAGGAATCTTTTATTCCTGTTTGGATTTGTTAGGTGTTGTGGCCTTGTCCACAGATAACATTTGGGCTCCTGTAAATATATTCTAGAAAATCCTTCTTCTTCACAGAAAAAGAAATATTTTTTGCTTTGCATTATCTATACTCTTGAGTTGATACAGCTGTTTCTCTTTCTGAGACTTTTGTTTATCCATTCAGTTTCAAATCAAGCTTTAGGGGAGAACGGATCTGCAAAATATTTTAGATCCTGCAGTTCTGTGATCATAGCAGAATATAAACTTTTCTTATGAGCGGAACAATGCTCTCCAGTTTCTGTTGCTCTCACAGTTACAAAGATTCTGTGGGTAGAATCAGCTAAACATGGTAACAGCGGGATCTCCCAAAGCCGACTTTGGAAGATGAGAGACTAAACCAGTGTTGCTGTTTGATGTTTGATCTACCTTTTACTTCACTGCAGCACAACCTGAGCACAATGCAACTGATACATAAAATGGAAGTCTAACTTGGTAAAAGATAGATAGGGCCGCGGGATTTACAGACCAAATTCTTTAGAGAAAACCATTGAATCATGTTACAATAATGGTGACGAATTTTAGGCTGTCTTGTAGTTTGAAATGCAATACTGTGGTTTCTGTTAACTTTGTTTGTTCTTAAGCCGTGATTTCTGCCTATCATTTAGTATTCCTGGCTTATTGTCTGGAGATACATTTCCCCCTCGGTATTTCCACCAGGAGCAAATGACCTTCCCCTTCGCTCCATGTGAAGACAGTGCTAGGATTAGGATGAGAGTGGGAAAAGAGGTGTCAGTGCACCTAAATGGCTAGATTTGACCAAGTTCTTTTATCCATAGCGAGTCTTTCTCCTCTGATAGTTTCTCGCTCAGGCAGTGGATTGAATGTCTCTGTTATGGAAAAATCAAATAAATAATCTGTTTATAATAATCTTCTGGACTAAGATGGATTTGGCATTAGCTGATTTTTGTACAATTGGAAGAGGCAGACCAACCAATCTTTCATATGAGGCTTTTGGAACTAAAGAACACTGTATAGAATCTCCTCTTCATTGAGTGGGCACAATGTGAGGAATTATGGTTGGTATTAATCCACTTTATAGACAAAGTGACTGCCCTCCTGTGACTGTATGCAACATAACATTTGAATTTAGTCAGTGTCAGTGCGCAGAACTTGGTGTTTGTGCAGGAGTGTGGATTTGTGGATGTGATTCTTTGGTATCTATTTCCCAGTTTAATAAACACATATTTGACTAAAACCTCTGTAACTGGGAGATGGCACTGATGTTCTAGTTCTAAAATTTCCAAAATAGCTACCTAATGTCAATATTTGCAATCATGGTATCGCAGCATTTGCCTGATCCTCAGCATAAGAACACGTCATGACCAAAACAGTTAGCAGGCAGAAGCGAGCAGTAAAGTTATAGATGAAATTTTATGTGCATCTTTAGTTTTGAGTGGAGCATAGTGCTGCTTGGTTTGAATTAAAGTTATCTTCAGCCAAAGAGTAATGTTCTCAATGTTCAAGGAAAAAAATGAAATTATCCTGAAAAATCTTGAATTACTTCAAAGATAGAAGATAGTGTTTGCCAACAGCTATTACTTAGAATTTTCTGAATTGGTAGCAGCAATTCACAATTATGCAGGACTTCCATATGTAGAATTTTACTCCAGTTACTTTCTTATATTTTAAAATAAGATTTTTTTCTGTGGTAAGAATTGGCATATGCTAGCAGTTTATTCCCTCATGCTGTGTGTAAAAACATGGAGAAGACAGCAGTTATGAATTATCATCCTCCATT